GTAAGTTCACAAAAGGAAAGATTCCAACCTCATCTTGCCGACGGTGTTCCTGGGAAGCTCGGGAGGTCTGCAAATGGCAGCAGAGAGACGGGACAGAAAACCTTTGCTCCAAGAACTTCCTTAGTACTTAAGAAGACTGCAATTCCTGTGATAGCCTGTCAAAATGTTCTCCTACTGCCAGATCACAGAGAGAAGCAGCTGCACTGCAGCTCATTTGACCCACTTTGGCAGCTTCCCCTGCCAGAAGGGCATCCACATGGCGGTAGGGGAAGGGACGCTGGCTTCAAACAGTACGCACCTAATAGCCGTTCTTTCGTGGTCATCCAAGGCGTAGCCACGGAGAGGCTCCACACAGACACCTTGCTGCTGCAAACGAGAAGCCACGCGGAACTGATGTGCTGAAGCATTGGGCTGAGAGGTGGTGCAGTATGCAGGAGGGAGGCTGGCACTGGTCTCGCTGCGGTAATCGCTGTCCCTGTCGTCCACGGCACTCTCATGGTCTTCCGAAGCTGCGAGACAGAAGATGTTGGATCTGCCAGCATGTCCGTCAACCCAACTCAAAGAGGGACACTCCCCCCCCACGCCAACCAGTCTCAGAGTAAAGCATAAGCACTCCTGTCTTAAAAGAGGATGAAGGAGCTAAGATGGGACAGTTTGGGACCGTCCTGCGCTAGAGAATTTGCTGCCAAATTCACTCCTTAATTATCTCGAGAAATACCTTTGGCAAAAGGTTGGCTTTATTCTGAGTGAAAAATAGGGAGAGGACAGAGGGGAAGGCAACGCTACTTGGCTGACTCTTGTGGAGAAAGAGAAGCCGAAGAGTACATGACAAGTGGCAGGGCCTCCCTGGTTTCCTTCCCCTTTGGAGCTCTTCAGCACTGCACAGCTTCCTTCCACCGTTCCTCGGCCCTCACAGCAAGGATGGCAAACCAGCCCCAGCCAATGGGGGCTCTGGGTAGGTGGGCCGGCAGCGGGTGCTTGAGCGTTTCAATTCTGAGATCTCCTGGCAGGTGCTCCTTAAAGCAAGCGAGGAGACCCTTAAATCCCATGGGGGGGGGCTGCCAGACAGTGAACCTTCAGGCATCTACACTGCTGGGGGAGGAGAAGGAACACAGATGACTCTGGCACCACTCCTCCTTGCAAGCAGGGAAGGCCCAATCTTTGCACAGCCCAGAAGAGACTTTGGGAACGCGAGGTCAGACCGCGCATCATCCGAAAAGGACAGGCCCAAGCCAGGAAGCATTTGCCCCCCTCCCCCTCCTATCTTGCACGGCGGGACCAGCACCCCTTTCTCCCTCGGAATTGGCTAAAACAATGTTTGGGTAAAAGCTGTCCATTAGACGCAGAGAGAAATGCGATTCCTAGCATTTTTGGTTCTAGGCTCCCTTGACTGATTTAATTCTACGGAAATAACTCTTCTTCACTTCCCTGAGGTAAAAGATGCGCCCTAATATGGAGTTCAAAGGCAGGCGTGAGGCATCTCTAGTCTCTAACAAGACTTCAAACAGCCCTCCGAAGTAATCTGATTGTCCATGCCGGCAGAGGACAACACCCTCTTACACTCCACAGGCTGCCAGAACGGAGCTCTTTTAATGAGCTGCCAACCTCCCACCAAAGGGGCCAATTTCACTGCACAGAAATTTCCAGATTTACACAAAGGGAATTATTTCTTATACATGAAGGCAGCTCCTTCCAGCAAGAATATCATTATTTCATGAATATTTTTAAATAGAGCAGGCTTTGCTTCCCCTTCCCCTTCCCCAAATGCACACTCTTCAAGTGCGTGAATAAAGAACCCCTGAGCAGTGTAAGAATTTAAAGTCAAGGAATTTAACAGCACCCCAGCTGAGATCACCCGTTGTAACATACAACCCACCCGCCCTCAAAAAGCAGCAGCTCTTTGACCAGGCTGACGGAGAACGAGAAGGTCCCACATGGCAGAGAATCACGGAGCCTGAAGGGCCACATCAGCCATCTCGTCCAGCCTCTGCTCAGCACAGGAATCTCTCCTAAGGCTTCCCCAACAGGAGCTGCCTCGCCTCAGTGAAGGGGAGCCGCCATGTTTCCAGGTCATGCTTCCGCTGCCAAACTGCTCTTGCGTTAGGGAGTTTTTCCTAACGTTCGCTCGGATTTGCTTTCCTGCATCTTAAATGCATTATTTTATGACCCCAGTCAGGCACAATGCAGAAAAGGTCTTGCCCTTGTTTTCCCGTGACATCCTTGAAAACATTTGAAACGTTATCACATTTCGTGTTGGGCATTTCCTCTACCGACTAACCATTCCCAGCTCCTCCACTCTCGTCGGGGGGCTACGATTCCAGGGGCCTGATCGTGCTTCCTTAGGTAGCCAAACCGTGTGCACAGCTGCCACGTCACAGCTCTTCTTTGAAGCATCTATCTGAATCCTTCAAGTGTGGGGCTGAGAACTGCACACGATATTCAGAGTGAGGTCTGACTAAAGCTGGATAAAGTAAACTATTATTTTCCGTGATTTGGAAATTAGGTTTCTGTTGATTTAACCTAAAATTGCAATTGCCTTCTGTTGCAACAACCTCATACTGCTGGCTCCCTGTTCAATTTGCAGTGAATTCCTAGTGCAATACTTTTTCACATCTACTATCAGCAAACCTGGTACTCCCCTCTCTGTATCGCTACATTTCATTGATTCCTAAGTAAAACACTTGGGGCTTGTCTGTGTTACAATTTCATGTTGTATTTTTCAGTTAAATTCTCTATCCAGTCAAGAACATTTTGGAATTGTGTTCCAGGCTATTTGTATTGTGTGTGTTCCAGGGTATTAGCTCACCCACCCAAATATGTGCCATCTGCCAGGTTGGTAAGCATTCTCTCTGCCTCTTCATCCAAATCATTAATAAAAATATTGAAGAAAGAGGCCTCTGGACTGAACTCTGTGGCATCCCATTCAACGCCTCACTCTAGTCTGATAAAAAACTGTTGAGGAGCATTTGATGCTGATGATTATTTTCAAGCCAGTGATATTATGATCTCTTAACTGCTACCTTACTCATCCTAAGCTTAGTTGTTAATCAAAACATCTTAAGGTACTCGGTCAGGTGCTTCACTGAAATCAAGATAAATTACATCTACAACATACCCTCAATCTGCAAGGGAAGTTGCCTGATTTAAAAAAAAATAGTTTAAATTACCCTAGCAATGCCTGTTCTTCATGAATCTATGCTGACTTCTGATAATTAATCAATTTTTCAAGGTGTCTCTAGACTGTTCTCTTTATTACCAATTCTAGAATTTTCTTTGGTACTGAAATCAAATTGGTTGGCCTGTGGTTCTGGAGATTCTCCTTTTCCCTCTTTTTAAAGACAGAACATTTTTCTGGTTCTTCCTCAGTTCTTCAAGATGTCCTTTTTTGTTATTCTTAGCATTTTCCACCAAACTCAGCACATTCTGGGCTTTAGCTTTCTACAGTTCCGAGCTATGACCTGTCCCTCTTTTCATCTCCTACGTGCGTTCAGAACCTTTTTATGAAGCCTCATCGGCTTCTTTTCCTGCCTTCCATTTTTTCCTCACTGGAACTGTTCCTTCAGTATCATCCTATTTTAGGAACTCCTACTCATCTTGTGCTCCTTTTTCTATTTGTTTTCCCTACCACAGTATAGTTGCTTTTTTAAACGAAAAATCTGATTTTCTGTTGTTCTGTTCCCTTAAAATCAAGAATTCCAGCATTACTGGATGATCAGTTTCATCCAATCTTTGTATTACTTCCACTTTGCCAACTAAGCCTTCTTTGTTGGTTAGGATCAAGTGAAGGGTAACTGATTATTTTGTGCCTTCCTCCATCCTCTGAATGAGAAAATTGTCAGTGGAACAAGACATGAATTTCCTGGAAGGACTGTGCTTGGCAGAGTTTGCCTCCAGCACACGCTAGGGATAATTAAAGTCCCCCATCATCACTACATCATTCCTCCTTGAAAGATCTGAAATTTGTTATTGGAAAACATAATCTACCTCTCCTTGGTTGGCTGGGTAATAGTAAGACACCAAGAGCAGTACTGTTGCTATTCATCCCTCCATTTATTTTAAGCCAGTTGCTCTGTACCAAATTGCTAAGTTCATTCACTTGGATTTTTGAGCAGCTGCAGATGTTTCTAACATACAAGGCACCCTCTCCTTTCTGTGATTTCACTTCTTTTCAAACAACTGCACTGTTATATCCAATCATGGGAATCATCACACCAGACCTCTTTGTATTATGAAATTATATTTGCCTTCCTATACTAGGACTTCAAATTCATCTTTTATTTCCTGTCCTCTGCAAATCACAATGCAGAGACAGCAAAGGCCACAAACTCCACAAGTTCTTCCTTATTTTCACTGAGAGGTGTTACAGGCCTGTTTCAGAATTTCCCCACTTCCCTTAGTTGGCTTTTGATGTTATTTATTTATTTATTGGGTAAATTTATATAGCCGCCCATCTCAGATACAGTTGCAAGAAAAAGTATGTGAACGTTTTGGAATTTCATGGTGTTCTGCATTGATTTGTCATAAAATGTGATCTGACCGTCATCTAAGTCAAGAGTATTGACAAATATAATGTGTCTAAAATAATAACACAAAAACAATTCTGATCCTTCATGTCTTTATTAAGAACAACCATAAAAACCTCATAGTGCTAGTGGAAAAAGTATGTGAACGTTTTGGAATTTCATGGTGTTCTGCATTGATTTGTCATAAAATGTGATCTGACCGTCATCTAAGTCAAGAGTATTGACAAATATAATGTGTCTAAAATAATAACACAAAAACAATTCTGATCCTTCATGTCTTTATTAAGAACAACCATAAAAACCTCATAGTGCTAGTGGAAAAAGTATGTGAACCCTTGAGTTGACC